TGCTCAGTGGGGGCTGAGTGCATCGTGTTTTGAATAGAATCGGAAGCTGAAAGCGCTAGGCCTCCTGCTCTCGCCTGCTGCCATGGTACTTGGGAGGCAGGCAGGACCTGGAGGGCCTCATGACCTCCCTCTCCCATAGCAGCGATGGGGATACAGACAGTGTCAGCACCATGGTGGTCCATGATGTGGAGGAGATCGCCGGGACCCAGACCCCCTATGGGGGTGGCACCATGGTGGTCCAGCGTGTGAGTAGGCACCCCATTCTTCCCAGACCTGCTGTGACCCTCCTTGGCCCTAGCACTGGCCCCCTTCCCTCTGTTCCTTTAGACACCTGAAGAGGAGCGAAGCCTGCTGCATGCCGACAGCAACGGTTACACAAACCTGCCAGACGTGGTCCAGCCCAGCCACTCGCCCACTGAAAGCAGCAAAGGTCAAAGCCCCCCCGTGAAGGATGGAGGCAGTGATGTAAGTGGTGCAGGCTGGTCCATGGGACGAGGGGAGGGCACTGGCAGTGGGCAGATCAGGGGGTGTTGGGGTCACTCTGCTGGGCGGGCAGAGCACCTGGGCCAGGGTTCCCCTGGGGGCACATGGGGCCTAGGAACAATAGAAGGGGGGGCACAGGCCAGGGCCTCACGTTTGCCTGACTCCCACTCCTGCCCCCACAGTACCAGTCTCGTGGGCTGGTGAAGGCCCCTGGCAAGAGCTCGTTCACGATGTTTGTGGACCTAGGCATCTACCAGTCCGGAGGCAGCGGGGACACCATCCCTATCACAGGTGAGGATGGGAGGACGGAGCTGCCACGAGGCCTGGAGAGGGCAAAGGTGAAGCCCCGGTGATGCGGTTCACAAAGCAGGTGCTCACGGCCTCCCCTCACCTGAGCACCTGCCCTGGCACAGAGGCAACAAGAGCTCCTGAGCCTCTTACCCCGAGAGGGAAGATGGTCAGCAGCACAGGGCCCTGCGGGACGGAGGGGCACTTTCAGGCCTTTGGCCGTTTCAGCTCCTTCGTGCACCTCCTCCATTCTCCGGTCTTTCTCTTTCCTTCTGAGTATTCAGAGGAGCCGAGACTGAGTGTAAGGGTAGAGTAAGAAGAGACGGGGTAAGGGGACAGCAGCCCACCCCCACTGCTCTCCCCCCGCAGCCCTAGTGGGTGGAGAGGCCAGTCGGCTTGATCAGCTGCAGTATGACGTGCGGAAAGGCTCTGTGGTCAACGTGAACCCCACCAACACACGGGCCCACAGTGAAACCCCCGAGATTCGCAAGTACAAGAAGCGGTTCAATTCCGAGATCCTCTGCGCGGCCCTGTGGGGTAAGCCAGGGCTGGGAAGGAAAAGAGGGATCCGTGTGCCCTCTGCTCCTGGTCGGGTGAGGGCCTGGCTCTGCCTCTGATCTGCCCAAGGGCTCCCGTTGCAGGCGTCAACCTGCTGGTGGGCACGGAGAACGGGCTGATGTTGCTGGACCGAAGTGGGCAGGGCAAGGTGTATGGACTCATTGGGCGGCGGCGCTTCCAGCAAATGGACGTGCTGGAAGGACTCAACTTGCTCATCACCATCTCAGGTGTGTGTGTGGAGGACGGGGGCAGGGACAGGGCCTGGAGGAGGGGGCTCAGCTCCTTGGCTCTCTGTCACCATCTTCAGCCAGGGCAGAGGGCACCCTTGGTCCAGGAGCCGGAAGGTGGGGCCACTCTCTCACCCCTTGTGGTACGCAGAAAAGGATGGCGGGAGGCCGAATCTGGATCTCCAACGAAGGGAGTATGTGTGTGTGTGTGTCCTCGCCCCTCAGGGAAAAGGAACAAACTGCGCGTGTACTACCTGTCCTGGCTCCGGAACAAGATTCTGCACAACGACCCAGAAGTGGAGAAGAAGCAGGGCTGGACCACCGTGGGGGACATGGAGGGCTGCGGGCACTACCGCGTTGGTGAGGAGGTCACAGCAGAGTGGCCAGGGCACATTTGTTTATGAGAAGAAATGAGGGTTTGGGCTTAATGGTCATGAAGCCAGAGACGTGGGGCCTGGCATTGGGGGTGTAGGACAGACCTGTGGGAGGGGCCCCACAGTCCAAGGGAAGTCCCAGCATCCCTCTTCTTTCCTGCCCCCAGTGAAATACGAACGTATTAAGTTCCTGGTCATCGCCCTGAAGAATTCCGTAGAGGTGTATGCCTGGGCCCCCAAACCCTACCACAAATTCATGGCCTTCAAGGTAATCCCAGCCTCAGCCCCCCAACACTGCTCCAAGGTCTGACTCCTCCACCTGTGTCCCCTGATCCCTTCTTTCCTCCATAGTCCTTTGCTGACCTGCCTCACCGCCCCCTGCTGGTGGACCTGACGGTAGAGGAGGGACAGCGGCTCAAAGTCATCTATGGCTCCAGTGCTGGCTTCCACGCAGTGGATGTCGACTCGGGGAACAGCTATGACATCTACATCCCTGTTCATGTAAGCTCAGCTGGACTGTGGGCAGAGGGGGGCCGCCAGTCTGGGCTCCAGACTCAGGGACTCCAGCCCTCCTCCTCCCAGATCCAGAGCCAGATCACACCCCACGCCATCATCTTCCTCCCCAACACCGATGGCATGGAGATGCTGCTGTGCTACGAGGACGAGGGCGTCTACGTCAACACGTACGGGCGGATCATTAAGGATGTGGTGCTGCAGTGGGGAGAGATGCCCACGTCCGTGGGTGAGTGGTGCTTGTCCCCGAGCTGTGGGTCCCCGAGCTGGCCCTAGAGTGGGCTGGGCTGCAATCCACTCACTGCCCCTCCACTTCTTTCTCCTCCAGCCTACATCTGCTCCAACCAGATAATGGGCTGGGGCGAGAAAGCCATCGAGATCCGCTCCGTGGAGACAGGCCACCTGGACGGGGTCTTCATGCACAAACGAGCTCAGAGGCTCAAGTTCCTGTGTGAGAGGAATGACAAGGTGGGAGCCCCTTGCCCCTGGAAAGGGCTGGGGCCTGCATTGGTCTCCTTAGGTTCCTACCAAGGAGGTGACCATTGTGGAGTCTTCCTGAAAGGGGCCCCTTAGGGAACACACTCGGTCACAGCCCGCCCTTTCCCTTCCCCTGCCCCCCCCCCTTTCTTTCACCCTAGAGGTCTGCCAGCTGCCCTCTTCCCCAAGCACTTCTGCTCTTCAGGGCGATAGGGGTAGTTCTTCCCTTTTTTTGGGTAATCCTCACCCAAGGATTTTTTTTTCCATTGATTTTTAGAGAGGTGTGGGGGGCGGGTGGAGGAGGGGGGTGGAGAGAGAGACACATCAACTGGTTGCCTCCTGCATGTGGAAGATTGAACCTGCAACCCAGGTATGTGCCCTTGACCAGGAGTCGGGCCTGCGACCCTTTGTTGCGTGGGCCATTGCTCTAACCACTGAACGCACTGGTCGGGCGGGTGGGGTTATTCTGAGAGACTAAACTGCAGTGTCTCTCTCCCTCTCCCAATTAATTGAACCCCCTCACCCCAATCCCTTGGTGACTTCTCCTTCCCCACCCCAGGTATTCTTTGCCTCCGTCCGCTCTGGGGGCAGCAGCCAAGTTTACTTCATGACTCTGAACCGCAACTGCATCATGAACTGGTGACAAGCCCTGGGCTGGAGCTCTCCCGCGGGGACCCAGCTCTCCCCCCACAGCCAGACTTCCCAGGCCGCCCTGCTTCCCCCTCCTTGGGCTTTTGCTTTTACTGGTTTGATTCACTGGAGCCTGCTGGGAACGTGACCTCTGACCCTTGATGCTTTTGTGATCACATGACCACCTTCTTCCCCAACATGTTCTCTCCCCAAAGCTGTGCCTGTCCCATCTTCTGGAGAGGCACAGCTTCCCCTTCACAGGAATCGAGTGGGCTTAGCCCCGTCCCCCCTTTTCTCCACTTAAGAGGAGAGTGCTTGGGGCTTGGACCCCGTACCCCACTGCTGCTGACTGGGCAGGGCCCTGGGCCCCTTTATTTGCACGTCAGGGGAGCCGGCTCCCCCCTTGAATGTACCAGACCCTGGGGGGGTGTCACTGGGCCCTAGGTTTTAGGGGGGTCACCAGCCACTCCAGGGGCAGGGACCATTTCCTCATTTTCTGAAAGCACTTTAATGATTCCCCTCCTCCCAAACCCCAGGGAATGGAAGGGGGACCCCGCCAGCCAAAACATTTCTCCCTTTCCAGCCCTCATCTCTTCTAGCCTCTGTCCTTTCCTGGTGGAGGGAGGGAGCATGGAGCTCTGGCCTCCACACCCCCTTGCTTGCATCTGTATATAGTGTGAGCAGCAAGTAGCCCTGTTCCCTCCCTGTCCCTACCCCTCCTCAATGTAGTGGCCTTGGATATCCCGTTTGTTAATAAAGACTATTCAACCAGCTCCCACCACTTCAGACCCCTTTTTATTCTGTTTTCTCTCACAGTCCAGCTACTCACCAGGGCAAGCAAGCAGAGTTAGGACGAAGGGGGTGGGGTGGGGTGGAATCTACAATGAGTCTTGGGGATCCAAGTAGGTGGGCAGTACTTGACCAAGAAAACGTAGAAGAAATGATGGAGGGAGGGCCAGGGCAGCCTCAGCCTTATTCTGTGGGCCTGTGGGGGCCTGCCCTGAGGGCATTTGATCCCAGCAACTGTGTCTCTCCTGTGTGGCCATCAAATAGCTGCCAGCTTAGAAGCTCACAGGGCTAGAAGGTCCTACGCGGCTGGAGCCTGAGCAAAACTGGAAGGTCAGCAAGGCTAGGTCTAGGATGGTCTTTGCTTCCCAGAGGACTGGCATTCAAGAGCTGCTTGAACAACCATCGTGGCTCAGTGGTTGGGCGGGGGGACCTGTGAACCAGGAGGTCACGGTTCAGTTCCGGTCAGGGCACGTGCCAGGTTATGGGCTCGATACCCAGTGTGGGGCATGCATGCAGGAGGCAGCCAATCAATGATTATCTCTTATTGATACTTGTATCTCTCCCTTCCTCTCCAAAATCAATAAAAAGTTTTTAAAAAGTCTTCCCTCTTTCTAATCCCTGCGCAGTGACCAGACCTACACACTTGTGCACAGGCAACATGTGTTTACAAAATACTGATTTATTATCCCTGGTGGTAAAGGATCATAATATAGCAGTGGTAGCAACTTGTTTTTCAAAATCTATTTCCTCCTGGAGAGGATAGGAAAGTTGAAATCAGGCGGCCACCAGCTCGGGTCTACATGCAGGGCGGGTAGGGCAGGTCGGGCACTTGGTTTAAGTAGCCCCCCAGGAAGATGAGGCTGGAGCCCACACTGAAGAGCACCAGCGCCGCCCAGAAGCAGATGTTGTCCAGGGCCTTCCCCATGCGCACCCAGTCGGACACCTCCTAGGAAGGGGCAGGCGCGAGCTGAGTCCCTGCAGCACAAGAGCTGGGGGGAGGCCTCGGCAGCGCCCCGCCCGCCCCTGGCTCCGGCCCCACCTCGCCGCTGGCCTCCTGGTCTCGCGTGCTCTCGGCCATGAAGTTCACGGCGTCCACACAGCAGCGGATCTCGGGGGCGGCGGCGCCCAGGCTCTGGTAGAGGGCAGCTGCCGGGAGGTGGGCGCACCCCGGTGGGTTATGGAGGCCTCCCCCGCTTCAGGCGCCCCCGTTGGCCCGCCCGGCCACGCTGCTCACCCGTCCAGGTGCCGTGCCGGTACCTCTGCCCCTCAAACACGAGCTCGCTCCGCGGCTTTTTCAGTATCAGCTCCTCGGCGCGGAGCAACAGGCCCACGGACGATGCCCGCCTTGGGGGCGAGGCTGCCCCGGGGGCCTCCGGGGGCGCGCCCGAGCCTAGGAGGCGCGGCAGCAGCTCCAGCAAGACCTTGGGGCAGAGGGTGTGGGGCAGAGGGGGGGACAGGGCCGAGGAGCGGTGCTCAGCTCCAAAGCCTGCCGCCCGCTGCTCCGCAGCCGCCCACCCCGCGCGCAGCCGCGCACCCCGCGCTCACGTGGCGCAGCCGCGGGGACTGTGGCGTGAGTAGTGGGCGTCCGCAAAGACACGTTGAGCACGACGACGCAATTCATGACAATGAGCGTGGCAAACCACATGACGAAGATGAGGTACCTGGGGAGCCCGGGGTGCGTGACCTCACAACCTCCCCACGGCCCGAGCCGCAGGTGGAGCGCCGGACCTCTGACCGCACAAACAGGCCTCTCCGCCGGGAGTGGGGCCTCCCCAGCCGCTCCGCTGCGGGGCCGCGCGCGCTCCCCGGCAGGGCAATTCAATCAACAGTCAAAATAATATATTTGCTACATCTTTTATCAACACCATATATACTCCCATTAGAGAACTGGAGTATACTTGCTTAGTAATGTGCCATTAAATATCACCTAGTATGGTTAATAGGTCATAAAGGCATATTTTGTAATGCAGAGAAAAATGCAGGGAAACACATGTTTTAATGTACTTTGGAACTTCAATATGGAAACTTAGTATTTGATATAGCTAGAAAATATAATCTCACATATAATACTTTCTTAAATTATATATACACATATCATTTTCTAGATTAACCACAGGACAGGAAGAGTTATTTCAGAATTATAACTGTTCTCTTCCAGTGGCAAACATAAGGAGCAATAAAAAAAAGGAAATTTAAAAAAAGGGAATGAAGTAATTTATTATTAAAGGGAACCCCCTCTTGTTATTTTTCATGGCATTGAAAATAAAAGGGAGAACAAAGG